GAGAAGAATAAACTCTAGGGCTTGCACTTCTAGATGTTTACTTTAAGTTAGTTAAATTAGTTAATTATTGAAAATCCTATTCCTTCTATTGATTACTTACTCTTGAAATTGATACTGTTTACAAATGTGGGTCAAATTCTCCCCTGATTCATATCCCATGCAACCTTACTGAGCTCAGCAAGATTGCTTTGAATGTAGCTCAGGGTATAATTTAGTCTGTGGTTCAGTAAGATATTTTAAACATCTTTTTTTCATTAATACTGTCTATACCTTATGTCTTAAAAAACAGACCATCTCCTGTAAAGGGACACAAGAACCTTTAGTAGCCAACATCTACAAAGATTGGGCATCCAATTGGAAAGTCATCTAAATACCAATTGCAACATAAGCATGTCATGAAATTATATCAAAATGTTTACATTTCATCTCAGCCATTGAGGTATAAGAGCTGATTTTTTTCAGTAAATTCTGCTACACTAAGTTGGTATACAATAGGCCAATTAAAATAGGTTGTTGCCTCCTGATCAAATGAGAGACCGTATAGAAGTATGGTTCCAGTTAAAACATATCACAAGTATTTTTATACAGTCTGGAAAATATAATCAATTAAATTGAATTGCGGGTTTGTTCTGTAGTTTGCATTCATGGTAAGTTTTTAGGGGGGTTTATTTTAAATATTTTAAATACTGGAATTACTTTGGAGAAGTATTAATGGAAATATTCTATATTGCTAGTCATTATTCCTTGACAACCTTTTGAGAAATTTCAGTGTCTTATTAAATATTAAAGTTCATTCCTAGTTATCTTCTTATTGAAATTGCCAGTTCTTGTTTGAAAAAGTGAATATAATGCAGACTCTAGTCTTACCGTAATCTTTTAGAAAACAATGAAATGGTGTATATTGTGGAAATACATGAGTGTATTGCTGTATCAGTAAGGCTTGAAAGGACTGTGGCTTCATAATGAAAATTTATGCTTCACGGTTTTTTGAAAAGGTTGACTGGAATTAGCACCATTTTAAGCTTTTATCTAGGTATTACCGGTTGTGCTTTAGACTTCACTGTTATGTCTTTCAGTTTGTTATAGGCAGAGCTGGTAGTTCAGCCGAACACTTCCCATTATAAGGAGTAATTATAACTTTGCAAAACTTTAATCATTTGGGCTGACATTTTCCATGCCAGGTGACTGTCAGGCTAATCTTTATATTTATTTTTTTTCTTATTTTTTTCAAGTTCCAGCAGAAATGGTCAGCTGTTCCCAAGAACAAGATTAGGAAAAAATATGTTGTTTTACCCATGTTGGAAAAAAGATTCTCACATTTGTTTTGTTGAGAAATTTGCATATTCATTCTCTGGAGCAGGGATTTCAAATTGGATATAGGGGGTAGCCTTTGTGTCAGGAATGTGCCTTTTGCTTTTCCTGTGAAAAATCACCCAAATTTGGCCAGGTCATAAGCTTTTGAAAGATCTCCTATTGAGTATGCTCAGTAGAGAGTTGTTTGAGTTTGGCAGCTAAATTCTGTGCAGATTACCTGTACTGAGCATGCTTCATCCCAGGGTTGCAGAGACTGAGCAGGCTAACCTACCCTGCAATTGCTCCTCCTGGCTTCTGCTGTGGGCCAGGCATAGGATCTGAGCAGGGAGTCCATCTCCCCTGTGCTTTCAGTGTCACCCTGCTGAGCCCAGCCAGTGTGTAGGAGGAATTGGGCCTATTCAAAGGCAGAGGGGGGGACGAGCAGCCAGAGCTGAATGGGTAGAGGAAATTGGGACAAGCAGCCTTGAGAGAGGATAAGAGACTGGGGGGGGGTGATCAAATGAGTAGTAGTGGGGAGGAGAACTGAGATTAAATAAGGAGAGGGGGAACTGAGATAGTGAGTGGGTGGAGGGAAGGTGAGATGAGATAAGGAGGATGCGGGAAACTGAGATTGTCTGGGCACGGAGCCTGCTGGGGAAACTAAGATGCAGAATAGCAAATAGATTTTTATACTATGATAGTTAACAACGTTGGATGCATAATGTGTACCAAAGCTTTCCAAGTTCCCAGTCCTGTTTCATGATGCTGAATTCCTACTCTAAGGATCTGTGAAAAGCATTGTTTCAAATTTTTTTTATATTTTTCTAGTACTTAAATTTGAACCAGCTCCATTTTATACCTACACAGCAATGTCAAACTGTCACCACTTTTGGTTCACACAAGTTTTTAAAGATGAAACTAGCAATATTCAGACTCTTGAGTATATTGAGGTATTTTATACTCTGAATTGAGTACTAATACTTGAAGAAACTGGAAAACAAGACTTGAAACAGAAAATAATTGAGCAAAATAACATTGACTATTTTCTATGTAAAACTGTTTTAAACTAGATTTTCTTACAACCTATTAGTAATGTTTATTATATGAACTGATTCAATATTTCAGTTACTTTCAGGTTCAGGCACTTAATATGCATGCCTCAAGGATTTTTCATTTCAAGGAAATGTAATAGTTGTGTAATATTGTAAGAGTAAATACACTCGTGGGGCATTTTCTGAACTTGACCATTTTTTAAAGATAAAAGAATCTTAGGACGATGAAATATACCAACACTTCACTGGAGTATATTATGGGTTGTGGATCCTTGTGACTTTGATACAAGTTAAAGGTTTTGTGATTCTTGGAAAAGAAAGGAATAATTGTAAAGGTATCTGGCCAAACACTGCTCCAGTCAGAATGATTCTGGATTAATTAAATGTGTGCAGATAGACAAAGCTATTGCATGTGGAATGTTCCTGTTTGATGATGGCTCTTGTGGAAAAAAATGCATCACCTGACATCCCTGGTTCCAAAGCAGTTTCTCACGAAGGGATCATTCCAGCTCTCTTTAGTCAATCAAAATATTCCCACTGACTTCATTAGGAGTTGGGTCAGGCCCTAAATATGAAAAACTGTGCCTGTCCAGAACTGAAGAGCTGTAACTCTGCTCACTTATCCTTAGAATCCTTATTCCCATTTGGAGTGGCTAGTGTATGAAAAATCCTTACTTTTTTATTTTACAGTGTTCCAACATCTGATGGGCATACTACGGTAACATATAAACCAAGGTCTTTGCCCCAGTGAGCTTACAATCTAATTTACAATGCACTTCAGGTGGTAGAGTCCAAACATGCCTCAACTGCCCTGCTCTAATTTACTTGAAAACAAAAGCTCCACAGTTCCTTCCCATACACTTGAGTCATTTGGCAATGAGTCTGGCATGCGTTCTTCCCGAGGGCAGAATCGAGGTTCTTACAGGTATTCACTGCCACATTACTTCTCTGATTATATAGGAGAGGATGAGGACCCAATAGAGAATCAGGTCCTTACTCTTCACTGAACTGAGCTAAATTACTAGTAAAGTCTGTTCATTGACTAAAAACTGAGATGGTTAGAGGGATGCAATCAACTTATCAATTCAGACACCAATATTTTTAGACTTAGTATTGTTAAAAGTAACACAATGTGAGAGACTGGGATGTGGGTGGTGATGCCTACAGGTTGGAGCAGGAGTTGGTAACCCAGAATAGAAGTCTAGGGTCAGAGCCGGAGTGAGAGGCCAGAGCCAAGGGTCAGAGCTGAAATCAGAGTTGAGTGTCAGAGCTGGGTTACCTGGAATGAGGCAAGTCTGGGTCCAGAGCAGGAAGAAGGCAGGGGACAAGTAAGCAGAGGAACTTACTAGGAGAATGTTCTGAGCAGCCATTGGCCTAATGCTGCTGGGCTTAAGAGTGTGCCTCTTGGTTCCTGCAGCCAATTAGGCAGTCTGGACAATGAGGTGATTCTACTGTGAGTCCTCTGTTGCTCAGTAAGGAGGTGGAGCTAGCTGTTCCCAGCCTTAGCTGCAAGTGTTAATTCCTGTATACAGTGGTGGTGTAGTTGTGTTGGTCCCAGGAGAGTAGACACACAAGGTGGGTGAGGTAATATCTTGTATTGTCCAAACTCTATTGGTGAGAGAGAGAAACTTTCAAACTTGCACAGACCTGAAATGTTGTATCCGTGACACCATGTTGCATATGTTTACCCGTTGTAGTCAGATAGTATGTTGTGTTTTATGTGGGTCTTTCATACAGCAGCAGGGTTTTTTTAATGTGTGTAATACCCAGCACTTTTTTGTAAAATAGATATATACAGAAAGGAGAACCCAGTATTCTGAGATGATAAAACAGAAATACATTTGAGGAGATGAAAGCAATTTCTTCATACACAGACGGTATGGAAAAATTAAATACTTCACTGAGAGAGACTACCCATGGTAAAGCCTCTACACTGAAGTAGTTGGAAGGAGTGGCTTTTGTGAAATTCATTCCACCCCTACAAAACTTGAGTAAGGTGGAGGCTGAGTGAAGACAGATTCCATCCCCAATGCAAAAGGTAACAAGGTTAAAGTACAATCCCCTATTCCTCCTGCAATATACGGTCTGGAATAGTTGTGCTGCTTCTTTATATGGGGTGCCTATTGTGACGAAGTGGGACTGTTCTTAATGTTTCCTCTGAATACTGTGTGGGTGCCTCAGTTTCCCCTATGCATTTCTTAAGTCTCCAGTGTGCATAAATGTCTGACAATCTGTCTCCTAGCAACAAATGGCCAGGGCCCTTTCCCCCTTGCAAGGGGATAGCTAAAGGTGAAAAAAGAGATCAGGTGACCTTCTGGCCCAGGAAAGAGACAAAGGCCAGAAAGGAGGAGCTGGCTGGGGACGGGAAGTGAGGGCAGACAGGGTTATCTGGCTCACTGGGCCTCAGAATGGACCCAGCTGAGGGATCCCGTTCTCTGTACCTACAAGCTCTGTTTTAGACTGTGTTCCTGTCATCTAATAAACCTCTGTTTTACTGGCTGGCAGAGAGTCACGTCTGACTGCGAAGTTGGGGGTGTGTGCAGGACTCTCTGGCTTCCCCAGGACCCCGCCTGCGCGGACTCGCTGTGGGAAGCGCACGGAGGGGCATATGCTGAATGCTCCAAGGTCAGACCCAGGAGGTGAAGCCGTGTGAGCTTCTTTCCCTGAAGCCAGTCTACTCCGAGGGAGAGGAGGCTCCCCAAAGTCCTGATTGGTTTTGTGGGGAGCAATTCCAGAGCATCACCAGGGGACTCCGTGACACCTATTAACTGCATCCATGTACAAGCATGACTTATTGCCCTCTCCACAGTGCTGCTCTTTGTCAATGTATTTAAAGCAGGTGAAGTACACCTTTGAGACAAAGGGAGAGCAGTAACTTCCCACCACAACTGCTCTGTCCATTCCTTAGGGCTTTTGCAAGACTGCTAGCATGGGTCCTCTGACTATATGAATCCCACCCTAGTAGGAAGTGACAATAATGCACAAAGAATGGTGGTATTACACCATGGTTGAAATCCTGGCCCCACAGAAGTCCATGGGAGTCTTACTTAAATAGGGCTAGAACTTCTTCACTTCATTCTTACGCAGAAAGGAAATACTTATACAGTTATTTTTTAAAATCACTTCCAATAAAGGTGCATCAACATGCATTTCTCTTTAGAGAGAGGTGTCTCACGAGGATGGGTAGATTAAAGAATGGTTGGTGTTAGCAGTGGCTGAAGTTTTCTGTACAATTTTGGACCGATCAAGTACAGCATTTCATATGTTGTAATGACTGATCAGTCATCATGGATAGGGCCATAACTTTGTTGTAGGCATTCCAGTAATAATAGCTAGTACAGTTCTGGTTGGTCTTATGACAGATGTGTAGAAATCTGCTTTCAATTACAGTAGTGCTTCCCAGCGTTTTCTGAATAGAGATCTGATTGAGATGGAATAGAGGAAACACCTCCTTACACTTCAGTAGTTCTATCTGCTTTTGTCTATTTTCTCTCTTGCTCCTGTCTTCTTATCTTGTATTTTCACCTTTTGGTTATGTGTTTGCAGCAAAAAAAAGACTCTCAGTAGTGAGTCTCAGAACCCAGTTCAACTGACTCGGGTTCACACTCTGGGGCTAAAATATAGCAGTGTAGATATTCGGGCTCGGGCTGGAGCCTGGGCTCTGAAACCTGGCTGGGGGGGCGTGCTGTAAGCCCAAGTCAGTTGACATGGACTCTGAGATTTGCTACTATGGGTCTGTTTTTGCAGAGTAGACATTCCTTTTGTTGCTCCTGCTCACCAATGCTATGTGCAGTTCGGTGGCTCTGAGGGGCCGGGTTGCATTTAGAGCTGAGTGCCTTGAAGGAGAGGAAATGACTGTTGGGCTGCTTCCCTGATGCAGCAGCCCTATAATAGTGAGCAGCTTCTGCAGCCAGTTTCATTGGGGTCTAGCAGCAAACACTGGAGAGGTATTTTTCCATAATTGCCCACCACTTTCCCTACAGATATCCTCTCTCAGTTATGGGGGAAGGGTGAATCTGGGATCATGCAGCTTTCTCTGCCCCACTCCTGCTTAGGGGAAACAGTCATGTTCTGGGAGTGGAAGAAGAGATTCTGTATGTTCTGAAGAGGAATTATGTTTGTGTTAAGTCCTGCCATGGTAGGAATAGCTAGCATACTGTAAAGAGACCATGTTAAATGATGCTACCACATGCTCACTCATGGTATTGTCTGTTGTTGAAATTGAGAGGATTGCCATGACACACAATTTTCTCCCTTGGCGGTGGGAGTGATAATGTGCAAGGATGCACCTATTCTTTTTCCTGAATTAAGCCAGACAAATCAAATCACTTTCTAAGTTTCATTTTTGTTCACTCATGGCTAAAATTAAATATTTTGGCTACACAAACAAATCCCCATGGATTAATAATGTTTTACATTCTGCCCAGACCCACAGTCCTAAATAAACATCTGTCAAATCACCAGACATGAGAAAAGAAACTGGGAAAATGCTTGTGATTTTTACAACTCTATACAATCCTAGCCGACTACCAGCCAGCATATACTGGTTCTGTGCGCCCAGTCACACCATAAGTTGTGTGTGGTCTCGCTCCTTTTGAAAGTAATGGAGATTTTAAAGTTTTCCTGCCATTTTCTTGCCTTTGTTTCAGAATTATTACAGACACAAGCAGGACTCCACCTGGAAAAATGAAGAATGAAAATTATTTTCAGGAGGGAAGGGAAAAATGTCAGAGGTTATTTATTCTGAGCTTTATTGATAAAGCAGTCTCATACTCTGACAACCCAAGGCTTTTTTTTCATTTAAATTAGTGCAAATTTGTTTTGGGCAGGTATAATTTCACTTCTCAAAACACAACTTTGAAAGTGCAACTCTGCTATGAAAAGTGACTATAAAAATGATCTTATTCAAATCTCCTTTTTGATATGCAGTCTCATTGGCAGACTTTAATGACAAAATTAAGTGGCTGCCTTTCAGTCCCCCTTAACTGTTCTTCTGTGCTAGTAGAAAGAGAGCTGGATTCTATTTAACATGCATCACCAGAAATATTTTTCTCAGTTGATTATACTTGTGCACATCTATTGAAAGACTTGGCTGAGAAATAAGTTTGACCTGCAGAATCCCTATAATCCTATAATGAGGCACAAGGAGGAAAGAACCCAGATTGACTAATTCTAGACTGAGTGTTCAGGATTGTCAGGAAAAAAAATTACTTCTAAACTGAGCATGCTGGCATGGAAATAATTGACAGATATCAAGCTCTGCAATGCTATTTTTAGTTGCTTTTTGGCCAAACCACACTAGAGAAACTGATCTTAATGGCACGTTTATGCTCCTCCGCTGTGATGCATCAACATGCCCACCCAGGCAGAAAGATGTCCAACTTTTAGATTCTGAGTGAGCAAATGCAAGCTCACAGTAAATGTGTGGATTTACATCAGCTCTGAATTTGTCCTATGAACTTTTATGAAATATTCCCTGGTTCTTGTGAATTTGTTATTTTTCTATTTAGTTCTTACCATTTGAAATACATGATTTAACTGAGTGTTGAATGGTTTTCTTCAAAAGCATTTCTGATGGAAAAGCCCAAGAGTGGTAGGAGGTAACTCCAAACTGGACAGTCTTTTTCACACAAGCCTTTTTTTTAATATATTTTCCTGCCAAATACCTATTTTAACTGCTATCTTCATGACAATTTTGGAACATCCAGGGCTCCTGACTGTTGAAATGCAATTTTGACCCCTGGCGGAACCAGCAGGGCAAGGAGCTGAAGGAGGAGAGGATCCAGCCTTCAAATGATTTCTTGTCTTGGCCAGGCAAAAGCCTATCTGATTGGCTGCCTTCACCACATCCCCACCTCCTGGGGAAGAGCAGCCAATCAGGTCTGCTACAGGAAGCAGGCAGAGCTCTCCCTTTTCCTCTTGGAAGCTGAGGGGAGGTTTTGGGGGAGGGGAAGAGGTGGCTCTGAGGGGCTGACACTGTTCTCACAAAGGTGGGATAAGACGGGAGCAGGATAAGCTCAGCAAGTCAGGACAGCTCTGCTCCTCTTCCTCCAGTGAAAAATGGGTCATTCTGCTCCCCACACACACACTTCATGTGCCCACCCCATCCCTGGAACACCATGCCTAAGAAAAGGATAACTGCTGTCCCAGGCCTGGGTGGGGCGTGGAAGAGAAGAACCCTTGGAGGAGCAGAGGTGCACTGAGGGGCAAGAGGCAGGGATGGGGAGGGGAGAGAGAAGGGGGCAGAATTATTTGCTGCGCTTGGGTAGAGATTGGGGCTGGAGGTGGGACACAAAATTAAATAGAATTGGAAGAAGCTGGTTCCACAACATCAGGTAGCCAACAAGAGCTCCTGATATGGGGGTCAAAACAATCTTGTATACTTTGGGAAAGCTGGCAATGTTGTTACTGCCATTTCTTTCAATATGTATCAGTGTGGATCCTACTGTAGATGCACATGTGCTTCATGCATGAGATCGGATATATATGTATTTTTTTAATAGCAGTGTCCACAGGCAGTGCAGGATAGGGTGGCTGTGACCCTCCCTGAGTTCCCTCTTATTGCCCATGGCAGCAAGACAGAACCTGTACATGTCTGAACTGCTAGTTCTTAGCTTTGGCTAAATTTCACCAAACCCTTCATATAAACCTTCTAAACTCTTTTGACTTGGGATCAACAATGACACTTACTCCCTCAAAACTCCCACACGACAGCAGGGAAATAATTAAGGAAGGCGAAATTGGCTTTACAGGCAGTAATGGATGCCTCTGACATAGCAGCTACATCTGTGGCCTTGGCGGTGATGCTGTGTAGAGCATCATGGCTCTAAGTATCAGGCATGCCTAGGAAGGAGTAGGCCATGAACGAAGACTTGCCCTTTGAATGTGTGGAGTTACTCAGTAAGTATACTGAGGCTCAAAAGCCACAAAAAGTTTTGATTTCAATGACGAGGCATCACTGCTGACAATCAGTTTAATTGAAAACTTCCCAACCAGCTCTGTGCTCGATAATCACCTTAGTTTCACAACTGTCTTTCTATTGGCCATCACCTCTGCACAGAATCAACAAGCTACAAACCCTTAGAGCAGGACCTCTCTACACATCCTTTCATAGGGACAAGGTGGTTCTGAGACTGCACTCTAACTTCATCCCTAAGGTGGTCTCTAGGGTTTCACCTGATTAGTTGAGTAAAGCACCAATGTTCCTCCTGAAGTCACATTTAACACAAGCTACATTTGAGGGATGTTTGCAGAGCTTTATTCTGTTACCAGGACAGGACTAGACCTTTTTAGTCTGTCTCCTCATCTCAGTGGCTATATCTGGCTTATTGAACGGCCAAGCCACCTCATCACAGAATTTCTAAATGGATCACACAGCGTGTCTCTACAAACTATCAGGTGTTCAGCTTCTTTCCCTCTGATTATTAGGGCACCCTCCACTAAAGCACAGGCACCATCTTTGGCCTGCTTCAGAAATGTGCCAATATGTAACAGCTGTAATGCAGCAACATGGAACAACCCACTGACTATTGTCAAATGTTGCACCCTTGACTAGGCAAGTGGTGACTAGAGCTCTGACAGCAACCCCTTGCTATTCTTGTGTCTTTAAAGCTGCTGTCTCATATTTTTATCATACTGTACTATTGTGCTTTTGGACAATATTTTAGGGATATTAAGAAATCTACTAAAAATAGACTAGAGAATCCTAGGAGGCACCATAATTAAGGCACAAAAAATTAATTCCTCTGTAAACAAAAATGCAAGGAACAAGCAGTGGCCAAAAGAAGAGAACCCACACAAGAAATGAAGATGTCAGAAAACTAGTCAAGAATATACCACCAAGGGGACACCTCCACTGTTAAACAAGAAGTTACCCAAGCTGCAGGTGGAATGTATTCCACTTTTACTATAGCATAAATACTACTCACCTGCTGAAGAAACAGCTAGTAATACAATGGTTAGAGGAGCCAGTTCACAAGAGTTTCCTGCCTTATAAAGAAATGTTTCCATACAATATTGTGGTTGAGTGCTCCCAGCTGGGCAGAAGGCATTAGAAGGACATGCAATTGGGTTCACATCTGGGCTCTAAGGAAGTGAAAATACAAAATAGGTAGTTTCATCAGACAGGTAAGGCTGTATTATTTGTTAAGCACTGACACTGCCCAGCATGATGCAGGACACTAAATAAGCCAGGAGCAGTGGGGGCTGAAGCTGGGAGCTGCATTGGGAGCCCCCCCCCCATGTGTCTGTACACAGCCCCTAGCTACCCCCTGCCTGCACCCTGAGCTACCCCCTCACTTCACACAGCCCCTAGCTACCCCCTGCCTGCACCCTGAGTGGTTTTTAACCTTTTTTTGAACTGAGTCCCCCTCTCTGCATTATATTTTTCAGTTGCATCCCCAGACAGGCTGGGTGATCTCCTGAGTGAGTCGGGGGTGGAAGTGGCGCTCCCTCCCTGGACCCCCAAATAGAAGTAAAACTACACCTATACACAAGAGTGCCGCCACCCGGCCTGGAGCCCTGAGTTACCCCCCACCCCCACTGGGCCCTGGCATTTTTATAGCATGTTGAGGGGGGCCTCAGCAAGAAAAAGGTTGAGAACCCCTGGTGTAGACAAGCCTGAAATTTACAGCAAGTGAAGAGTGGTAATTTCAGGTTGGTTAAATTAGGCTCAAGTCAGTCATGGGTACTCTGAGGATGGCACCATTACTTGTAGGATTTAGAGCAACAAGTCTCTTACACAGCCTTGCCCATATTTCAAGTAACACAATTAATGGGCCACTTTCCAGTCTTTAGTTTTCCCCAAAACTCCCAGTGGAGGATCAGTGGAAGCTTCATGTGTGGAACAAGGATAGGTACATGGCTCTAGAGGTGGCTAACATTTGCAACTACTCTCTAACATGGCTGTGTTTACTTTTTTTTTTTTTAAGCAAAAAAAGCTAAAAGAACCCTACAAAGGAAGTGAACTGAATAAAGATGGTGTTAATTAAAATGTATTCAGCTTGTAATAGATCAGCTACATTTAGTAAGACATACCACTGCTGCAGCTTAGAGAGACTTACAGGACAGTAATAATTTTCTGGGCATTTGTCACAGCTCTCCTTGCCCCTTTGTACTTGGTATTCTCCTATATTGCAGATCTCACATTTGCTGTCGCTGGGGCCTTTATATGTACCTACAAATCAAAAGAAGCACAAAATGGGGCTTTTGGTATCAGTGCATGGTTGACCTGTGCTTTAAAGGAGTGAGAGGAAAACTGCTGAAAACATTTAATGCACAAAGCAAAAATTGGGCTCTCAAGTAGTCTATGCTGATGGGCAGAGAAAACTAAAAGAGAACATATGGGCTTGGGGATGAAGGAGGAAGCCTGCATTTTTAAACTTGGCAAATAGGGTTAGTTTGAGTCATGAGTTCAGGGAAATACTATTCTGCATTTTCACATATTTCAAAACCAATGATGAGAACAAGCTGCAATGTTCTACACTGGATCCAAAGTTCAGAATGTTTGTCTATAATTGTGGGTTGAATCCATCTTTCCTATCCAGTAGAAAGATGATAGCTGTTTAAAAATTATTAAATGACTTTTTTCATTTTCTGAACTTCATATGTTCATAAGAACTGTGGGTCTTTAAAATTGTGGGACGCTGTTTGCTGCATTAATGTTTAATGTGTCTTGTATATTTAAAAACACTACTTCACTATGGAACTTCCCGGTGTTTTTTAGCCCTGCTGCAGGGGCTGTAGCATAATGCCATATCACTGACTCGTATGTGGCTTGGTGTTTATATAAGACCCTATTGAATAGAGGCTAGAAATCACATTTCCTCATTTCCCCCTTCATGACCTTCCCCTGCACTGCTTGTTTATAGACTTAAGCCAGGTCTGCAATGCGACTACTAGCATAGGGATACCGGCATACTATCCCAGCAAAGCTCTACTAGTGGATGCAGCGCTTAGTGACTCTGCTTTTGCCCGTAAAGCTTAATTCATTCCCCCTGAGCAAAATAAATTATTCAGGCAAAAGCACTGTATTAGGGGCTTTTTACTGGCACAGGTGTATCAGTCAGGGATTACACCTCATCACATTCTGGACCAACATAGCTCTAGGCTGGACTAAATCTGTAGTGTAAGCCAAAGTCTGGCCAACTATAGACTACTCCTGGGGGAATTCTGTGCCACTGCGCATGCACAGAATTCATGTCCCCTGCAGATTGCTTTTTCTGCACAGAATATAGATTCTGTTGGAGAGGTGCTGCAATTACAACGTTTGCTTACCAAGGGCTGCTGTGATGCCAGAAGAGAGGGCAGCCAGCTAGTGGAGAGGGAGGGGGAAGAGGCGGCATTCCTCACAGTGGGGTCAGGTAAGGAGGCATAGGAGGGACAGAGCGGGGTTTTTTTTGGGGGGGGAGATCACACTGGGGGACAGACTGGGGCTCAGGAGCTAGTGGGGTGACAGCATTGAGACAGGAACTGAATGGGAAGGGGGCTGCAGGGCTATAAGGGGTAGGGAGGTTGCAGGGCCATATGAGGATGGGGCAGATGTGCCTGATGGAATGGAAGAGGCTAGGGATCAGCCAGGGTCTGCATGGGGGAGGCTCCCCAACTCCCTAATAATCCCCTCCCACCCACCCCCAAAAAACCACCTATTCCATACTTCTCCCACCCACACCCAACAACCCTCCAGGTTCACTCCCAGGCTCCTTCCCTCTTCCTTAGCTCTTCCATTATCCCGGACTCCCCTAAGCCTTTGCACTGCTTCTGGGAGGTGCAGGAAATACAGTTCTCTATTGTAGTTTAAATGAATTACTCAAAGTTCTGTATTAATATGCCTAGTAGGGAATCCATTTGTCAAAAAAACATTTCTTGAACTATTTTATTTTTGGTCTGTATTGTTACAGACATACTTGCTGACAGGTATTTTGAAATAAATTACCAAAATAATTGAAACTAGCATGATTATAATGTCTTGTTTTGACAAATAAAATATGCAGAATTTTGCAGAATTTTTAACTTTTTGACACAGAATCCCCCCAGGAGTAAGTAGAAGTGTTTTTGAGTCTGCTGTAACCAACCTAGGGTACTAGTGAACGAACCCATTGCTAACCACCATTACCAGCCAAAATCCTGATGTATTGGTGCTGAAAACAGTTTCCCAGCCTGCATGGTAAAAATAAAAGTTGCAAGAACTCTTCTGCAATAATGATGAAATGGTGTGTTCTGCAAACACTAGCCGGTAAACCCATTTCAGTATTGTTGCTGAGAACAGGTGCCAGCTGCTGGCCAGTTTGCTAGCAGAGATCAGCCTAAAGCTTCTGCAAGTTTTATTCTCTAAATAAAGCTCGTTGTCCTCAGCCAGAAAGAATATCAGCTGCATTTCCCCTCTTTTAATTAATTACCTGGCAGACAAGGTGCACATTCTTCAGATGCTTCTGTAAGGGCCTCTTCTCCAGTGGGGCAAATTGTACACTTGCTGCAGTTGGTAGTACTTTGGAGAGAAGAAGAGAGAGGAAAAGAAATATACAAATATAGCTGACTCTAGCTAAATCATCTGATACAGCATGTAAACTGAGTATGACATTGAGCAAAAGCTGACTAGCTCTAAACTACTTGGATGTTCATGCTGGCTTTATTTCCTCTTCGGTCCTTAAATTAAGAACTGAGGCCTTTGTCTATATTAGGGTTTTAGCCAGCTGTGTGGTTGCATTGGTACAAACTTCTAGTGCAGACGCCCATAGCTGAGGTAAGCTACACCAATGCAAGTCACAACTTACAGTGGTGCAGCACATCTACAGTAGGGATTTGCATTCAAGTGGCTGGCACCCTAATGTAGACAAAGCCTAGGCCTAAAGGCAGACATCAAAAGAAAACACAACGGGGAAGGGGAGAAAGAAAAGGGGAATGGTTTTATGGGATGTGAAACCTTCACAGAATACTACTCAGTTCTGATAACTTCTCAGCATCCAGGCTCATCACTAAATGCCCCAGCTTTCTTAAAACAAAAGACCAGTATTTGCCAGCTCATTACTACTTATTTTCTTTCTCACCCTTCCTTACCCCAGAGGAATTTTTGATAGTGAATTCTCAAGTTCTTCTCCATCCAAAATGACTCTCATGACTTTGTACAGAGGAGTTTATCTGCTGCCCTCTTCACCTCCTTCATTATCCAGTGAGTTTAATCCTTAATATAAAACCACATCTTGGACTGCAGTGTGACTGTCAACTGATGGGAGTTTCTAATTCTATTCACTTTTGTTGGCTGCCACACAACAGCGTAGTCTGGGAAGAAGGGGAATCCTGAACTGAAACCTCCCAAGCAGCAGCTAAATATGTTGCCATTGCACCATTACTGGGCCAGCCTTGTGGCACCACTGAAACACATGTATAGGGTCCCCATTCGCTCATCATCACGGACCCACTGAATTTTTAGGATTTTTTACCTTAAGTCAGTGTTCACTACAGTATCAATTTCAGTTAAAGAGAACAGAGTTTTGGAATCTCCAAACAGCCAGGTCCCCCTTATAACATTGCTCAGCAGGGCTGATTCATCGATCAGCCTGAAAACCAAGGATGCCTCCCTTTTTGCCAGTTGAATTGGTCTCTTGAATCACTTGCCAATAGTAAAAGAATCCTACTACCCTTTCCCACACCATTGAAAATTCATATTTTAAATTAAATTAATGGAGATATCCCATCTCCTAGAACTGGAAGGGACCTTGAAAGGTCATCGAGTCCAGCCCCCTGCCTTCACTAGCAGGACTAAGTACTGATTTTGCCCCAGATCCCTAAGTGGCCCCCTCAAGGATTGAACTCACAACCCTGGGTTTAGCAGGCCAATGCTCAAACCACTGAGCTATCCCTCCCCATATATGTATTTCTTACTTGCAAAATGATCCGTGTGGACAGGGCATGCAGAATGCTGAATTGTTCTGGAAGCTGAAATGCCCTAAGGAAATAGAAAAGAGGAATCTTCCTTGTAATGTCACCAGTCACTCAATTATCAAGGTTACAAAGAGTTAAGATAAGTCTCTCAATGACGTGTAAAACCTTGTGTGTTCTCCTGACAGTGATTTTGGGGAGAGAGGTGTTTGAAATTTTTTTAAGGAGCCCTAAAACCAGGGTACTATCATAATGACCTTGCAATACTAGCATGACATCTAGGAGGCTCAGACACTCCACTTCAATCTAGTGCTATTGCCAAGATTTAAAACTCTGTCAGGAACTGCAAAGTGACACTTTATGCCCCTGTGATGGGTAGACAGGCCCTGCAGAGCTGCTGGTGTTGCGTGGAGGAGCGCTCCATCCCCATTTTACATTGAATAGACTGAAAGTGAAAAAGGCTATTGACAAAAGTGCAGTTTTGGGTATAGGCTGCCAGCAAGTTCTCAAGGATGTGCAGTTGCTGTCCTACCTTCCCATACAAAAGCTATAGGGAGGGATGTTTTGCCTGGACTGAGGAAAGGCAACTGTGCTTCTGACCCAGTCACCTGAAGTAGGAGGAACTTACACTAGTCGGGGTACATGAACACCTGGCCTCCCCGGCTGAAGAAAATCAAGAGGACTTGAAGAGAGAGAGAGACCCTACAGGAAGGTTATCACAGGCTAGTACAGGTGTGAGGGGGAGCATAAGCTATTTTGTTATACACAAGAGCAAGGTGATATGCATGGTTTGATGGCAATTTTTCCATCAAATTAGAAAAATATATTAGAACAGTCAAAAGAAATGGAATCCATAGTTCAGTTTTTTGGTCTGAAAAAACAATCCTGTTACTAAATGCTACTTTTTCTTTTAAGTAATCTGTTACTGTAACCAGTTATAAGAAAAATCTTGCACACTTCGGAGGTGAGTAAGAGTCAAAGCATACCTTTTCCACACGGTGTGCAAGCTGGTGCCCCAGACTCATTGGAATAAGAGCCAGGCTGACAGGGCAGGCATGCAACACTTTTCATTAAACTAAAAAGAGAGTTGTATTGAGTTAGTTCAGTTTTATGTATTTTTCATGAGGAAAAAAGCTTCAGTCAAATTTAAGCTGCTTAATCGGAAACAGACCTATTTGTTTGCTTGTATATTGTGCATCTCTAGGAAATACAGAAATAGTTTAATAAAGGTGAGGCAGTTCAGGGGGAAAAAACCAACTAGAACGAGCCTGAACTTTAAACATTCAGTTAAGAAATGAAGTTTTCGATTGCATTGATACTAGAGATGGTTTATGCATTTCCTGCAGTGTGCTGCAAGCTTTACAGATAGGTATGGGTGGGACAAGATTACAAAGTCCCATCCTCAGGGAAGTTAGGCCAAGATTTTAAAACGGGTTTCTGAAGTCCACACTCAGGCATGCAAGAGGCCGGATTTTCAAAGGTGCAGAATGCCCAGCATCTACCATTGATTTTTATGGGAGCTGCTGGGTGTTCAGCACCTTTGAACATCAGGTCACTTCAACAGAAGCCTCAACAAGGATGTAGAAATCTAACTTGAGGTATCCAGTTTTGAAAATCTTGGCCATAAAGCCTAAATGAGACCTGAACAGGAGCTGGGGATGGTAATGAAATACTCTTTTTTCAGAAGAAGGGGTGCATACTGGCTAATGCGTTTCTTACAGGCAGATCCAAATCATACCACTTTTCTAAATGAGGAATTTCCTTCTCAGTTTGGTCCCTCTCCTCCATGCCCCCTTAGGTATCTTTTCCCATCCCCTATTACTAATGGTAATTAATGCCACCTTGGAACTTGCACTCTGATCAGATAGATCATGTTACTGATTCTGAGACCCCGTAGAATTCATTGCATACCCGGCTGGGGGAAAGAGGCACTGAATGCAGGTTCACATTGCAGTGGCCTAGCAGCGAGCTCTAGCTGGGATTTGTATTAAAGGTAAAAATTAGGAGGCATAGATTAAGTGGCAGAAGCATTTGTTCTTGGAACTGTGAGATCCTTATTTAAGGCATCACTAGTCAGATTGAGAAACCTGGTAATCTCTCAAGCTCTAGCTCGGGAGTCCAATTGTGGCCATTGTAATAGTTTAATTGCAAGAATCTAGCTTGACCTTTGATAAGGGACCACCCACCTGCCTTAAATTAAAGTCACCAAGAGAACAAGTTACTGCAGAGCCCTCCAACATCCATGGGGGTTTCGTAAACTGGGATGAAAGAAGAATCAGCTGCTAAACCACAATCAGCTGATGCTTTTGGCACCAAGTGACAGGACCTCTTATTAAAGTCTGACAATGCATTCTACAGCGCTGACGCTGCCTGTAAACATTTGTATATGTCTAATGTGTGTAAATAGCCAATACATGCTTCCAAATGAAATATTGGCACACAGACGACCAGTGAGTCACAACTGACCATGCCCGTGGGGCAGAGATCTAATTTCTACAGGAGACCTAAAATAAAGCAGATGAGCACAGACAAATTACAGCTGCAACCCCGTCAAGACTGCACTATACCACAGGTCCCACTTAGGCGATGAAGTCTGGACAACCTGAGAACTGGCTTCTTGGGCCAACACATGTATTTGTAGGCATTTTGATAGTCACGGTAGCACCTTGCAATCATTAATTAATTAAGCCTCACAGCACCTCACTGAGGCAGTGAAATACTATCCCCTTTTACAGATGGGAAAACTAAGAGGCAGAGACAGAGGTTACAAGACTCCTTTGAATTACCCAGGAGGAAGTTTGTGGAAGAGCTGGAGCAAAAAACCCAGATCTCTTGGTTCCCAGCCTTAGTTTTTGATTAAGTAAAATCTTACATTTTCTACCATTGGGAAACCCCATTAACACTGCTCCTGCAGCCTAACTAGGGGGCAGCAAAAGAAATCCTACATTCCAGGAAATGACTATTAATCATGTTTATTTCCATAGTGCCTGATGGTGAACCAAGAACAAGGACCTATTGGGCTAGGCACTTGTACAAACACAAAGTAGTAGACCCCGTTGCAATGCGAGAGAGAGAGGAAGACTACACAATCTGTGCCTAACCAAAAATACAATCCCAATCACAACAGTGGTCTAGAGACTTACTTAGTGTAATATCCTTGTGGGCAAAGCAGACAGGACAGTTGTCCAGCTAGAGGCTGATAGTGACCCACTGGACAGGAGATGCAATCAATAGGTTCTGCGCAGGAGCCCTCTGAGCAGCAGAAACAACCCAATGTCTCTAAAGCAAAATAAACATTTTTTTTAAAATGACATTTGTATCCAAAGATAAAACACCAATTTTTAAAACACAGATCAATATCATGAATGTAGAAATATCTTTGTCTAAGTGGGCCTCAGACAACATTATCAAAATGTTGTCCTCACATAACACTGTAGGATGGAAAAGAAAAAATATTGACTTTTATATTAAAAATCAGATTTTAATAATCCCAGAGTTCTTGAATCTGCTCAGACTGGCACAAGAACAATTGTTAAACAGAGAGTAGGTTATAGTCCAGGGTCTCAAATCTGTTGTCTCCGTTGTGTAATCTTTATAGTTAACAAGGCTGTTTTTAATTTGAGAGACCAGGAGGATTTTCCTCACCCTCAGTCGAAAAAATAATTTAAGAAAATTACTTTTGATCATTGATTAATGTAAGTTTAGCAGGAAATAGAACTGAAGGAGAAAACCCCAAAGCAGAGAATTCTGCCTTAAGGAGAAACAGTCTTTTGAGCGTGTGAAACTTACTGTTCCCACATCATAAAAATTCTATCAGTCTTAATTCTACAAAACTAGTTTATTCTACATAGAATAATTATGTAGGATTTGCCATGCCAGCTCTTGGGCCATCAAATCCGTCATCCTTCCTCTAGCAGGAGCCAGTGCCTGCTACCTTGCAACAAAGCACATGGGACAGGAAAGATTAATACGGACCCAATTGTACGAAGTTGTATATGGTGGTGTTGGCAATTAGTTCTTGATCTCTGCAAGGGTTATCTCATGCCTCGAAGCTGGTTATCCCTCTCTTAGCATGCCCTGATACATGTTTTATTATTGATCCTAACATTATCCAGTCTGGTTTTAAAAATAAAACTGTAGTATTTATTTGACTGACCTCCTGCTATAGTGAATTCCGTAGGTTGACCACATGTGGTATGAAGGAGAATTTCCTTTTGGGTGATTTTTTTCATTGTGGAACATGAATCCTTATGAAGAGCTGAATACTTTAGGCATTAGCACAGAGCAGGTATTCAGCATTGTGTAGGGATGGAGATGATGGCCCCACTAATAGGCTGGTTAGTGGAAACATTTGCCATCTATTTCTGGGCTTTATATTAATCTGAGCTTTTTAATTCATTCATATTGCCTAAAAAAGTGAGCTTAAGAATGAGAAAGAAAGTGCACACTCACCCTCAAAGGTGATCTGCAGTGGGGAAAAGAAAGGGGGGAGCAGGTTGCCCTTTTTTTGCTTCCCTAAAGAATATGAAGGGGGTCTGGAAAGGCTTATTTTTCTTGTTTGATAGTTCTTACTTTAGAAAATCAGAATTGTCAAGTCTCGTTGCTGAGTGGCTTCCTGTGTAACAGAGGTGGACTGGGAGCTCTCTTAGCACTTAATTGAAGGGGTAGGGATACTGAATCTTTAATGGAGGTTTCTTTCCGATTGTTTGAAACAAATAGTTTGAAATTGTTTTTGTTCATATCTACCATACTCAGAATCACTTCCCCTCTCAATTAGCTACGTTTCACCTGCATTGTGTTTTTAGGTTGTAATCCTACCACTTCTTCAATCAACCATGGAGTCCTCCAGGTTAAACAGGGTGGACAAGGCCTGATGTTCTAATGTAAACAACGAGGAGGGGGAAAAAATCTGAGCCCTTTTTTGTGGCATGATACAGCAATAAAAAAATAAAATCACACACCCAGTTTTTGTCCCTTTTGCAATCACCTCTGTAGACAAAGTAAGAGAGCTGCAGCGGTGAGGGAAATCTTCCGAATCTTACCATTGCTGGGAAACGTTCCTGGTGAACAAGCTGTACACGCTGTTGTGTTCACTGCACTGCAGTTTGTGGACTCCATGGTGCTTACAAATGGAGTAGCTGATGGAACCCCAGCAGATGCTGTCACGTTTGGAGCAGTAGATAGCATGCTGGTAGGTACTGTGCCACGGGGGGTAGCTGATGTTACCCCAGCCAACTCTGTCACAGCTGATGTTGGTCCTGGAGAAACCTGAACAGTGGTACTATTTGGAATAGTGGACACCCTTGCAGTTCGGGTGGTGGATGAAACCTCAGCAGATACTGTTGTGGCAGATGGCACCGTGGGGTTTGTAGTGGTTGACAGCACTTCAGCTGTTACTGTCACAGCTGTAGTTGATACCGTAGAGACCCCGACAGTGGTTGCATTTGGAGCAGCTGACGAAACATCAGCAGATACCAGTGGTGATCCCGTAGAGACCTGGGCAGTGGTCATTTGTCCAACAACAATACCTAAGAGGGAAAAAGTTATTGTTAGTGGTTCAGTTAGTGTAGTCCATGTGAGGAGACAACTCCATAGAGACTCCTTTATCTAGCAGTTAACCCAAATCCATTTGATTTTTTGATGTTTGTTTGGAAACATTTTCTCCATTATGCTCAAGAAGTGATGCAGAGAGAAGCAAACTAGATAAAAGTATATACAACAATTAGTGGTCTAGAGAAGGTAGATCAGGTGCTTCTATTCTCCCCATCTTATAACACAAGGAGACCTTCAATTAAATTAACAAGCGACAAATTCAGAACTGATAACAGAAAATATTTTTCACAAAGTGCATTGGTAGACTGTGGAACTCATTGCCACCGGAAGTTGTTGAGGCCAAGAACATAAAATCAAGAAAGTGATTGGATATTTATATGAATAACAAGAATATCCAGAATTGTAATAACATGCATTGGAGCCCTCATGCTTCAGGACTCATGTCAATCTCTAAATCTCATCCTGATCTCTAATAGTTAATGGGAGGTGAATTATCCTCATCTTCCCACTGTGGGGTTCTTACACCTTCCTCTGAAGCCCCCTGTTGGAGACAGGTACTGAATGGACTTGTCGTCTGGTCCATTCCATTTTATTCCTTATATTGTTCTTATCACCAGGGTATCTGAGTGCCTTTCACTAGTGCATTAAGGGATGTGCCTATGTCATAAACAGATAGTTAAGGGTTAATGCCTCTTTTACCTGTAAAGGGTTAAGAAGTTCACCTAGCCTAGCTGATACCTGACCAGAGGAACCAATGGGGGGATAAGATGGTTCAAAAGGATGGAGGGAAGTTTCCTTTGTTTAGAGTTTAGTTTCAGTTTTGACCAGAGTGGGAAAGCTCCAGAAATCAGCCTCTTCTCAAGTAGTGAGTATTAGTGAAGGGAATAAATAGGTTTATGTTTATTTTCTTTGTAACTTGTCTTGGGCATTAGGGAATAATCAAATTGGGTAACTTTTGTGTAACTAAGTTTTTGCCAGGGGAACATCCTCTGTGTTTTGAAGCTGTTGTCTGTGAGATCAGCTGGTATGCTATCTCCCAGAGGGTTTTCTTTTACCTTTCTTTTCTTTAATTAAAAGTCTCCTTTTTAAGAACCTGATTGATTTTTTCCTTGTTTTAAGATCCAAGGGGGTTGGATCTGGACTCACCAGGAATTGGTGGGGGAAAGGAGAGGGGATGGTTAATTTCTCCTCATTTTAAGATCCAAGGGTTTGGATCGGTGTTCATCAGGAAATTGGTGAAGAAGTCTCTCAAGGCTGCCCAGGGAAATGAGTTAGAACTTGGGAGTGCTGGCAGCAAAACCAGATCTAAACTGGTAATTCAGTTTAGGGGTTCACATGCAGGTCCCCACATCTGTACTCTAAAGTCCAGAGTGGGGGTGAAACCTATGACAGCCTAACATCTGTAACTTATATGGTTCATTCTCTCTCATATCCCCTCCCCAGGGGGAGAATTGTGTGTACAGTGTAGTGTTTTGTTTTGGTAGGGTTTTGTTTTGGTAGGGTTTTGTTTTGTTTTAATGTCTATGCTGCTTGGTATTTACATTGGAGAAGGCAGGACACCGAAGTGCATTTTGCATTTGGAGTTGAAGGTGGTGAGGTTTGTGACTTCCTGGAGGAGTTCATTCCAGGCTTGGACTGGCCTCCTGAGGAAGTTCTGTCTCCTGCACTGATGAGCTTTACCCTTTTACTAGAAAGTTGCATTGTGCCTAAGGAGTGAAGTTCTCAACCACAGTCTTCATCCTGGTGCTTTAAGTGATATTTTGAGATATCCCAGACCAGGCCATTAAGTGCTCGGAAGATAAGGCCCACACCTTCAGATTTGATTGAATATTCTCAGGGAGGCCGGTTTATAGAGAGTGGAGAACAGGTTTGATGTATTTGAGGTAGCCCATTTTGCTGAGTAGATGAACTGCAGTGTTCTGTACTTGGTTGGAGTCTCCTAAGGGCTGGTGACTTCTTGGCGAGCCATATTGTATTGCTGTAGTCCCGAGGAGGGGTGACAAAGATGATCAGGTCATTGTCTGCCAGGGTGGGACAGAGAGTCCTATCCAACCAGAGATGATAGAAAGCATTACTTATAGATGCTGCTGTGTGAAAGCTTAATGTCAGTGAGGAATCCAGGAGCACTCCTAAATTATGGACTGAACTAATCAGTAGTAAGTATGTGCTTGAACCAAAGGAGATTGCCCATGGCATCAAACTCTTCAAAGTGTTTTTCCCTGCCCACCACTTTAGCAATTCCTATGTTCCTAGAAATGGGATGAGTCTCATACTGGATACTGTGGAAGTATCTGCAGGCAATCCACAGTACCTGGGGCAGAACGAACAGCACCCCCAGCATTATATTTGAATTGCAGGAGCTGTTCATTGGAGGATGATCCATTTTTAAAAATATAATCTACAATTCTGCATGCAAAAAGTCTGTTTTTTACTCACTGGGTCACCTTTAGGGCATCATAATTCTGAACTATATCAGCGTCTGTACAATGCTTGGATCAGCATCTCAAAGGTTCTATTCTGTAAGGTTCCTAATGTTTTCGCTTTTGCACTGCGTATCTTTGTGTGTTTGGGAGAGGTGGATTCCTCAAAATCCTACAGGAATGATTGTGATTCAGATTGCTTTGCTGTTACATGTAATAGGTTAAAATATGTTTGCTTGCTAAAAGTGAAATCTACAAGCCTTTGACCTGGGAGTAGCCATTTTGGCCCTCTTACCCATCGCTGAAGGGGAGAAAGACCCATTAAACTAAAAAGCAAAAAGCGTAGCAAGATGATTTAAATTTAGCAACATAATGATTAAGACAGTTCAAAAAACAGCAATAGCTGTCACATCAGTGTAGGAGGAGGGAGTGCAATAGATCAGGAAGTTGGCATGGGGATTTTTTAGGTACTTTTTACAATAACTAACTGCTGCTGCTGACATTGTGTGATTTAAAACACAATTATGAGACTAAAGGATTTCTTTGTTTCCACCTCCTCAACGCCTTAGCCCAAGAATCATCATTGTTACATCAGCGTCTGGAAGCTGGATTGGGCATAGATACAAAATGTCCAAAAACTGCTCACAAGTTATTGTGCTGGTGTTAAGAGAAATTAATTAAAAATAAACAAAATTCTTGTCCTAAATGGCTAGGAATTTAGATTTGAATAAGTGGACAAATCTTGATACTAGATCATATCCGGTACCAAGAAATGTAAATATTGTTGAAGTGTGTAGTACAAAAATAACTTCTTAATTTTCAGAATAAGCCAGTGATTCACACACTATTTTATTTATTGAATTTTCTTCTGCTTCACCTGATGTTTACCCACCTTGTCCTAATCAGCACACATTTAGGAAGCAACAGAGGGTCCTGTGGCACCTTTAAGACTAACAGAAGTATTGGGAGCATAAGCTTTCGTGGGTAAGAACCTCACTTCTTCAGATGCAAGAGATCTTGCATCTCTGAAAGAAGTGAGGTTCTTACCCACGAAAGCTTATGCTCCCAATACTTCTGTCAGTCTTAAAGGTGCCACAGGACACTCTGTTGCTTTTTACAGATTCAGACTAACACAGCTACCCCTCTGATACTTGACACATTTAGGAGGCTCCAGCATAAAGGGAGCGTGTGGAACTTAAATGTAAGTAGCAGGGGAAAGGACAAGTTTAAACAACATTTAAAAACTGCTGCTGCAATGTTCAGTTTTAAGGAGGTGAATGGATCAGTTTGCATCAGAGGTATAAGCTATGGAAATAACAGGACATGTACACCATGGTCTAGTGGGTATGGCACTGAACTGCAAGGCAGGAGACCTGGATTATACTCTTAGCTCTGCTACTGACCTGCAGCGTGGCACAAGGCAAGACACTTCACCTCTCTGAGCTTCTTTTTCCCCCCCACCCTTTTTCTGTCTTGCCTACTTAGATGATGATTTTTTTTTTCAGGGCAGAGACTCTCTCTTACTATGTGTTTGTACAGCATGTGGCACAATGGGACTGCAATCAGATGGGACTGCTGGGGTTACTGTAATGCAAACACCACCTTCCTCATGGACATTTGAGAAATATGACTAAAATACAGAATTTAATTTCTACAACAGAATCACGCAGCTGAACAAATGGGTCCATTGACAGTTAACCTTTAAGAACTCTGGCCTTTTAGTCATATGAAAACTGTCTGTTAAGGAAACTCTTCTGTGCTTTATAGAGGTTAGAGTTACACTGACACTAACTTCTTTGTTGATTTGGAATCTGAGATCTACAATTTAAAAATATTTAAGCAGAGGAGTACCCTAACATCTTGACCATTCTCCATGCATGGGCCGTATTGATTGTTGTTGTCTAGTCTGTTAAGATTGTAAGCTCTTAATGGCATTTTTTCCTAGGAGCATATTCAGTGCTTAGCACATTTGGGGTGCTTTGCAATAAAAGCCTTTGTAGCAAATTAGATTGCCGTGTAACCAAGATCATTCAGGCTCTCTCAGTGCTGATCCTTTTTTTCCTATTAAATTTTTAATAAATATATACATACAGAAATAACAAACTATAGGTAACTTCTCATAATACATACACTTTTTATAATAGATTAACCTTAGCTACATTTGAAACATATAATTATATAAAATATGAATGTGATCATATATATGTATGTATATCAAATGTAATCAAAATATAAATCAATTATTTGTATTACACAATTTACAAACACAATTTGTTTATAAAACTCCAACTGGTTAAAGTAAAATTATTAAAATAAGATAAAGAATAGAAGCAAAATTCAGAGGAGGGAGATAGAGACAGGGAGGGAAGGAAGAGGGTAGAAAGGGGGGACCATGCATTTAATAGGATCATTCAGATACTTCCAGGAAAGCATCACACATCTGAGAATATTTCTTGGGTATTTCTGTTACAGCGTACAGTTCTTTCCATGGTGGCCAAGCTTACAATGTCTATGGTCCAGTCCTCAATTGTTGGTCTTTTTTTGGATTTCCAGATTTGTGATACTAGGCTTTTAGGGATTATTAGTGCTCTGATGAGCCAAAACTTTTCAGATTTATTCAACTTCCAATTAACACCCATTAGTTTTAAGATTATATGTTTTTCTTGTAACACAATTTTATTTGATAGGAAGAAAATTAATTCTGCAATTAAGTTCTGCCCAAAACATAAGGGTATAGGAGCATTCCCAGAGCATATGCCATATGGGTTAAGTTAGCACCTGCTGAATCACGGTGCCAACATTTGTCTGGTTTAGTGGCACATGTTTTGAATAGTTGGCAAGGGAGCCAATGCATCCTCCATATGATTTTCTGCTGGATTACTCTTAAACGGAGGTCGAAGGAACAGTTTGGAGCAGTGGCTAAAATTTGTTTCCATTGGTTAGCAGACAATAATTGGCCTAGTTCTTCCTCCCATTGTTTTTTTTTTTTTTAGGGAATCTGTGTTTAATTCAAATTTGCTAGCCAGGTGTGCATATAGTGTTGCCATGGGTCTTGGCAGCCTGAGTAATATTTGGAGAAGTGAAAGCAGTTCAGGTGGTCGGGGTAGCGCAGGCAATGGGGCCAAATAGATGGGAGACACCATGTGTCAGATGCATATATTGCCACTTCTTAGTCTCCAGCCTGAACCTTTCTTTGAATATTGTAAAAGGGAGGAAGGTGTCATTTTCAGTAAATCACTTTCCTAATACAATCTGGCCAAATTATGGGGTTTTTACAGAATTTTGAGGTATCCCAGATAGAGGCCTTGGTATGTAAAAAGGGCTGATTTTTAAATGTAGTAGACAGTGGACATCAAGTATATCTGGCTGCTACAATAGTTGGTGATTGTTCTTTAGGGAATCAGTAATAATTCCAGCAGCACATTGGGAAGGGGTAAAGGAGCAACCAATTCTGCTTTCAGAGGGAGCCAATCCAGGCCTCGACAGCATGAGGGATCGAGCCACTGTGCTGCTTGGCTGAGAACTATTGCCTGATGGTGACGTTCAAAGTTGGGAAATCTGAAACCACCTGTTTTGACAGAGAACTGTAATCGCTGTAAGGAGAGCCTGGGTTTGTTACCAGCACCACACAAGAAGGACTGAACATGGTGTCAATTTTGGTAAAATAAAAGTGAGGAATATGGATAAGGAGGGAATTCAGAATAAAAAGGATCCTGGGAAGGGCATTCATTGTGAGAGTTGGTGCCTGCCATCTATTGAAATTGTTTGCTAATGGCATGATTAATGCAGCTAGGTTAACCTTGACTACCTCTCTAATTTCCTTAGGGAACAGGATGCCAAGATATCTGAGGTTTGTCTGTTGCCATCTAAATGTCCCTATAGGCGAGCCCCTTCCAACTAGATCCAAGGAGATCTTCATTGCTTCCGACTTATCCCAATTTATGTTGTAGCCAGAGAATTTGCCAGAGTTATCTAATGTTTGTAGGTATTTGGAATGGATTTAATCTGGATTTTTAATAAATAGGAGGATGTCATCTGCATAGGGAAGCATTTTTGTCTCCTGAGACCCTGATTTGATCCCTTGAATCCCTTGGTGTTCCCTAATTAGTATTGCAAGTGGTTCTAATGCTAGATTGAACAAGGGTGGGGGGACGGGGAGGGAGCATCCCTGTCTGATTCCCTGAAATCAATCAAGGAGCGTGTGTGAATATTGTGCTATTTGTTAGGATCCAAGAGTTGTGTTTGGAATATAACAGCTTTATCCAGGGTAAGAAACAGACATTGCCAGTTCACTCTGTGAAAAGCTATCTTTGCATCAAGTGAAATGATTGAATGATTGCATGGAGATTTCTAGAGTGTTGAATGCCATAACATTAATCAACTGACATGTGTTATCTGAACCATGCTTATTTTATTAAATCCCACCCAATGGGGATGAACCATATCACTCATTACTTTTTCAAATCTCTTAGCCAATATTTGTAAAAGTATTTTTATATCAGTATTGATTAAAGAGATGGGTCTATAGCTATTACACTTTTGTGCATCCTTACCTGGTTTATGTATTACAGCAATTAGTGCTTCCCTCAGAGTAGGAGGTAACATACCTTTCTTGAAGGCATCTTCGTAAATGTATTAGAGCTTAAAGGCCAGAATTGCTTTGAAATGTTGATAGAATTCTATCAGTGGGCCATCAGGGCTGGGGGTCTTGCTAGGACTCATTTCCTCCATGGCTTGATTATTTCTTCTGATAGCTGCTCTTCTGAGATGTGTGGGACTCAATGCTGATCCTAATCAGAAACAGCAATTCTGCAGTATCTTTAAGGAAGGGCACTTTGGTGTCCATACCTTGACAAAAGATTTAGACATGGAGTCTCTCTCTTCTGACTCAGCCTTCCTTAAAATATGAAGTCAATTTTCTCCCCATGGGAACACATGCCAATGAGCTGCCCTGGTTCCAATTCCAGTTTTGTTAAATGGGTCTCACAATAAGCTGAGTGGTGTATGTGCATTGGCTCTAGCATACCATTGGGCTCTCCTGGAATAAGTTTTCAGAAGGAACCATTATGATCACCTAGTATGGGAGAGAGATAGCTCAGTGGTTTGAGCATTGGCCCGCTAAACCCAGGGTTGTGAGTTCAACCCTTGAGGGGGCCACTGAGGGATCTGGGGCAAAATCAGTACTTGGTCCTGCTAGTGAAGGCAGGGGTCTGGACTCAATGACCTTTCAGGGTCCCTTTCTCCAGTTCTAGGAGATAGGATATCTCCATTTATTATTATAAATTTTATGACCTGCTGCAGAACAGCTCCTGGATATTTGTTTTGCGATGGAAATTTGTCTTCAGCCACAGATACTGAAATAGATTTAAGTTCCCTGGATTGCACAGGACTGATGGCATTTTTTAAATGAAATCTTTTGTTGAAAATAGATATTTTATTCAAAAACTGGGAGGGGAGGGAGGGAGTTGTGAAAATTTGACAAAACCATTGAAGTTTCTAATTTTTCACAGAAATTGTGCTTTTATACAAGTAGTTTTTATCCAATATTCTAGAAATTGGTGCTGAAATGGTTATTGAAAATTTTAATTTACCAAATTTAGTGATTTATTCTGCTTTCTAAATGGAAGAAACTATTTTTTAAAAAGATCACTAAAAATACAGCTAAAAACCTCCAGAAAGTGTTGAAGATTGGATGACTCATGCCAGCTAGGCCCCCAACATTGACCAAATAGCCTTTATTTGTCCTGGAAATTCATTGAACTCTTTCAATTACAGAGACAAATTCTTCCTGACTTACAGTATTTGCAACCATTGATATGTAAGGCAGGCAGTCTTTAGTCTACAGTTTGCAAATGAAGCCTGGTGGTCTGTGGAATTTCCTTCCTCTGCCCTCCTCCCATACATTGTCTGCAAATCTGGTGAAAATAATCATTCAATCCAAGTGAAATAAATCAAAACAAACCTACATATCTAGGTGAGTATATCAGAAAAAACACCTTTAGTAAAACAAAGAATGAAGAGGTGAACAAGTGGCTTCTGAGTGGGAGAGCATCCATATTTGCTTAACTCCCAGCAGAGCAGGGACTGCAAGTCTTGCTCATTTATGTGTTATATCTTTGTCAGACAGAGAAAATTACAAAATTAGTTATTTGAGCAGCTTAACGCCCTTGTACGTCGCTTTAAAAATGCAAGCCTACCCATTTCAATGGAGTAGCAGGATGTATTATTATTTATTTGTATTCCGGTAGTGTGTTGGAGCACCCGTCATGCCCCAGAGCCCCCTGGCGCTAGGCAGAACAAAGAACTTACAATCGAAAGGTATAGGCCTCCACCATGCGGACACACAACGCCACTTGGCGTAAACATGATACATATTGTAAAGAATACAAAGTTCTTGGAATCCCAACAGTAAAAACACTAAAACTAATATAAAATAATTATTTATAGACTAAACAGAGGGACAAATTCTGCCCTCAGATACCTGAAAGCAACTCTCATTGACCTCTGTGGGAGCTGTGTATCTGAGGGTGACATCTGGCCCATAGCATGTCATCTGTTGTAACAGAAAGATAAGTATGTAAAGCCCTCTTGCAGTATGTTCGGTCTCTGTGCTTTGCTCTGCAAAAAGACTCTGATTATTCTGTGTACCTTGGAGCTGCAAGAGTCATTTCTAAGGCTTCCTCCTGCTTTTTTGCAATTCTGCAAGCAAAATACTGCAGAATATTCAGGGTTTAGCTCAACTTTTAAGTCTTTCTTCCAAAATATTAAAAAGTAGTTGAGCAATGTGCTCAGCCATATTTGTTGTTCAGGGCCGTTGTACCAGCTGAGTGTTGCTGTATATATTTATATCCAATTGCAAGACTAAATGCTTTCAATCATGTCTTTGCAGCCTCTTTTCCTTTCCTCTGTTCCCTCACCCTTTTCCCTGCTGTTATACATTGCTTCCGAAACCAGTAACTGTATGAAAATGCAAAGCCCCAGCGTTCTCCCAGTGCAACAGTTTAGAATCATAACTAGTATCTTTCTAGACCAGAAAGAACAAATGTCACATTTTAAAAGTAGTTACTCACCCATCAAACAAGCGGCACCTAAACTCCAAAGCGGAGACCTGGGACAGGAACCCATTTTCCAAGCGGGTCACGGCTCCTCACCAAGGGAGAGCAGCTGCTAAGCTCCTACAGCAACCGTTTGTCCTTTTTTTAGTTTTTCTTCCCAATTCCATCACCTGACTCTGATCATGTGGTTGAGTCAAACCAAACCCCGACAACAAACTAAGCAGGATTTACTCATAGACTGAGAAGGGCCTTTTAAGAAGTGTCTTGTGTTTCAAAAGCACAAGTCCAAACTAAATATTGTGCAGAAGGGTTTCTGTTCGCTCTTAGTACCTGCACTGAAATACAGGTCAGAGAGAAGCTCTCTGAAAGAAGCAAAGAGCCGAATAAGCAGCTGTTGGATCCAGCATAGAGAGTTCAGAGGGGCTATGAGGCTGGCTGCTGTCCAACCCCCATGATCTTAACCTCATCGACAAGCAATACATCACTTTTGACATACCCAGGATTTCCCATAACAGGATAAACAAACAGCCCAAAGAAGTTCTCTTTGTAACTGACACTAAGGGTGATGTAACTAAGGTCAGATGATTTCTGTGGCCAAACTCAACAAGTTTACTGGTATGACAAAAGTTGCCAGAGTTGATACATCATATATTTGTGAGTAGCACAGATCTTACAGTGAGAGGTTTAATGTAACAAATCCGTGTCCCATTGCTGCCCCATGTCTGATTCAGGCATAGGCTGCAAGATTATTAATTGTTGTTGTTGTTTGAGGCTGGTTTCTGCTGTCTCTCTCTTTTCTTTGTTGCCTTATACTCAGTTTTAGTAGTTTGAGGAAGTATCTTATATACTTTCATTTTATATATTTAACTAGAAAATCTCACTGTTTCAACTTTTCTTTTGCCATATTGATTCCAAAATCAATCCTTGGATTTCCAGTGTATTTGTCTCCCAGTTTCTAGTAATCTTGCATGATTGCAAGCGCTGATTGTACATTTGGAAAGGGTCTGTCTGTGGTTTGTGTAATTAAACTGTAGTATGGTTAGTGTGAAACTTCAGTGAAGGATCGATAGCAGTTAAGCTTGTTGTGGTTTTGTTTTTTAATCTGTTTTTCCCAGTAGGGAGTCATTTAGAGCTAAATATAGTGTCCGAGCACTGTTTGTTTCTTCCTTTTGTTTAGCACCTCAAAAAGATTCAGGGTTTGGGCTCTGATGCTTGCCCACCTCCAGAGTCTGCATACTGGGCTGCAAGTTTTTATGAGAAAAAATTCTCAAGAGATTTCTGGTGTTTCCTGCTGAGATCCCCCCCAGAAATTCTTGAGAGCAGTCTCACATGGTATTTCATCACTTCTGGTCAGGTTAGGTAGAAACCAGAAATTGGAATGTGGGGTAAGGGGGAGAAATACACTGAACTCTGCCTTTTAAAAAAATCAGTTTTTTTAAAGTTTTGTTTTATCTGACCTTTGCTTGTGTTCTTATTCCTTCCACTTTTAAAGTGACACCGCTGTTTTTGGCCCCAAAAATTACACTCACATGTGACAGCTCTGTCATGCCTGCCTGCAGTCCAGCTGTGATCTTGTGCCTGTAGCTGGGCTGTGAGGCATGGGCAGCTGTGGTTCTTCCTCTCAGCTGACAGGGGTGTGACGCCCCCCCTCCCCCAGGGTGCCACTTGGAACTGGGGTATCACTGAGCCTGCCTCACCCACCAGCCTGGGCTCCCTTTACACCAGGGGTGGCTAACCTGAGCCTGAGAAAGAGCCAGAATTTACCAATGTACATTGCCAAAGAGCCACAGTAATACATCAGCAGCCTCTTCCCCCACAGTACCTCCTGCACCCCGGCAGCCCTGCTGATCAGCACCTCCCCCTCCCTCCCTGTGCCTCCTGCCCGCCACGATCAGCTGTTTCGCAGTGTACAGGAGGCTCTGGGATGGAGTGGGGAGGAGCAAGGGTGCAGCAGGCTCAGAGGAGGGGGCGGGAAGGGGTGGAGGCTTGGGGTAAAGGGTGGAGTGGGGGCTGGGCCTGGGGTTGAGCAGTGGAAAGTTGGCACTTGTAGCTCCAGCCCTGGAGTCAGCACCTATGGGGATTGGCCCTGCTTTGAGCAGGGGGTTGGACTAGATGACCTCCTGAGGTCCCTTCCAATCCTGATATTCTATGATTCTAAGGAGCCGCATATTAACTTCTGAAGAGCCGCATGCGGCTCTGGAGCCACAGGTTGGCCACCCCTGCTTTACACTGTACTGCTGTGACAAGCTGCAGACCCACTCCCGGTCTCTCACTTTCACCAGCACACATACAGGTAGGGACATACCCAGCTGTTGTAACATGCGAACAGGCTTTCTGACTAGCCCCTGCATGGGCAGGCTTCAGCTAAGGAACTGCCCAGATACTCAAGTGCACCCCCCCCCCGGAATACAAACCCCAAATTGTACCATCTTACGCTGCACAGAGAATTGTACAGTTTAAGCTCATGAAATTCACCCCCTCCCTCAATGTGGAGAGAGAGATGCAACAGCTTTTTGCCCCCAGTTATGAATTCCACACACTGGGTTTTAGACAAAACAAAAACAAGTTTAACTACAAAAGATAGATTTAAAATGATTATAAGGGATAGCGAACATATCAAAGCAGATTACCCAGCAAATAAAACAAAATGCAACATAAGGTTAATATACTAAAGTAGTAAATTCTTACCCTAACTCATGTTTCGGGCAGATTGCAGAGACTTGCTTGCAGCTTAAAACTCCAGATATTCCTTTCACAGGCCAGACACTCTCTAGCCTGGGTTCAGTCCTGTCTTCCCCAGTTCAGTCTTAGGTGTTTACAGCAGTCATCTTGGACGGGGAGACAGTGAAGAACGAACTCAGATGATGTCACTCCCCTGCCTTAAACAGCTTTTGGATACAGCGGGAATCCTTTGTTTCCAAATTTAGCTCCCATGCCAGTCAGTGGAAAAACACTGGTATTCCGAGATGGATTACAGTACCAGGTGACTTGGTCACGTGTCTCTGTAGGGCCACAGCAGCCATGACTTGGAGGCTGTTTGCAGCATCCCCAGGAAGACTTCCCAGGAAGATGGGAGATTAGCATCTTCAAAGACCTGTGGTTCTCTCTAATGGCTCTTCCTCACAGTAAGCCATCTAGACTGATTGCATTTTTTCTGGTGGGTGTTCCCCAGGTTTTTTTGTAAAGGTTGTAATTGATACATAGTCAATATTCCTAACTTCAGATACAGACATGATACATGATACAAAAATAGGATAATCATATTCAGTAAATCATAATCTATCCAATGATCTCTCACCTGCCTTATTTGGCACAAAATACATCATAATTATGCCATATTCATATAACAAAATCTCTATGAAGAATATGGGGGGCATTGTGTCATAAGGGGCACTAGTTTCCAGGCAGCCCCTGTGCTCCGCCGACTTGCACCAGACCAGCCTGAAGCCTTCGGGAGGTGGCAAAGGCAGCAGCTGGTGGGTAAGGTGCCAGATATATGGGGTGTGGGGAGGAGGCAGGAACAAAATGGAGTCAGTTGGGAGGCTTCTGGGGGGGGGGGGAAGGCAGCCCCAAGTTCCCATTGCCCCGTAAAACTCCTCCCCAGCCTCTTGCCCCATTCACAACCCACCCCGACTGCCCTACACTATCTCTGAGCTGCCCCTGGATTCCCCTCCCTCCCACCAATAATACAGCAACCAACCCACTCACCCTCCCAATGGTCCTTGACTCCCTACAAAACCCTGATCCCTATTGGCTTCCCAGCTGCCTTTAGTTCCTGGTCCCTCCCTCCCAACTTCCACAGCCCTTTTTGCTTCCAAGGAATAGGTTCCAGCCTTCCCACACCTGCTGTCACAGCTCCCGAAGGGAGGAGAGAGGAGGGGAAACCCCACAAGGTAAATAATTGACTTGTTCTCATGTCACGAGGGCGTCACGGTGGAGCCGCACAAACTTGGCCATGCTGCAATGGCTTGTTGACACCATAGAATAACGGCTGTTCAAACTTTTCTGTTTCTGGTGCTAGCACTGCCCCGCTCTGAACTCTGGCCTCTTTGATTCCTTCTCTATGCTACTGGTTCCCTGGATTTCCCTGCAGAACTGGTGTGTTGTTTTAGAGTTGCATTGAAAAGGGCAGTGGTCCCTTTAGGCTCATTGGAAGGCGCTGCTGCTAATTAATCAGCAGCAGCCTTGGTTTAAATCCCTTAGAAAGTTGGGCAGTGAAAAGCTAGCGCTTCCATTTACAGTGGCATAACAAGGCCCCAGAGGGCTCTAGTGCAAGACTAGGTTACGGGGGCGGAGGGTGGAACGCTTCTCGATTCCAAAATCAAATTATTTTACCCCCCAGTATACCCCATTGCTCAGCTACATTCCCATTCCCCCTCATAACTACCTCCACAACACTCCCCACCAACAACGTGCCCCTCTCCACTGCCCTGGGACCTTTCTGCCCAGTCACTGGTGCCCCTCAGTTCTGGTATTCTGCTTTCATCTGGGCTAGGCCAGCTCCTCCTGGTCCTGGCTTCCCCGCAGCTTTGCTCACAACCATCCCCTGCCCTGCACTCGTACAGCACAGCGTTGTGACCTGGTACATGCGTTTGCAGTGCCACTCACTCAAATTTGGGCAGGCCGCCCTCATGATGGAGGGGCAGCCGGGCGGCACTGTGACCCACATGCATCTGGTTGCAGTGCCATTCAGATTTGTCCCAGCCACCCCTCTGTCTGACAGAGGGGCCATGGGGCCAAATTTGCGTGAATGGTGTTGCGACCCCATGTGCCAGGTGAAGTGCTGGAGCACTGCTCTGGCTGGCTGGTCTCCCTTAAGCTCGTGGGTCCTGGTGCAACTGCAGCACTTGCACCATTGTAGCTACACCACTGTCCTTTAAAGGGGAGGAGAAGCAAACATTGGCTTCTTACATTTACTACTCCTGATTACAAGACCATTTGTTACAGGGGATGCTATTCAGACCCTTTCTCTTCCTCTTGCAGGGTAAGTGTTAATGCCTAGCAACTGTGATTGTGTCTGCAACTGTGGAAAAACTTTCTTGTGTCGCTGTGTTTGCAGAATGTTAAATATGGATAGGTACAGTCTGCTTGTTAGAGCGTGATCAAGCCTGCAGTTTCCACGGGTTGGAAAGCAAACTGAGCCCTGTGGCAGGTTTCAGAGGGGTAGCCGTGTTAGTCTGTATCAGCAGAAACAACGAGGAATCCTTGTGGCACCTTAGAGACTAACACATTTATTTGGGCATAAGCTTTTGTGGGCTAGAATCCACTTCATCAGATGCATGAAGTGAAAAATACAGGAGCAGGTATAAATATATGAAAGGATGGAAGTTGCTTTACCAAGTGTGAGGTTGGTCTAACGAGATCAATTAACAGCAGGATATCAAGAGAGGAAAAATAACTTTTGAAGTGGGAAGAGTGGCCCATTACAGACAAGTGACAAGAAGGTGTGAGTAACAGTAGGGAG